CAAATTCCTTGGGTGTCCAATCACACTTGGCCAATAAAGAATTCTGTTCTGTTCTGTTCTGTTCTGTTCTATAGTCTACTCTATTTTCCAGAGAACTTGGAAGATTCTTCAGGAACCCTTTCTCTGTCCCCATTCCTTCTGTGCATTGAAATATCTCTTGTCTGACTATTGTCTAAGCTGCCACACTTCTTCCTCTTGCCTCCCAAGGTTATTCTCCTATCCCATTACAGTATTTGGATGGAAAATCTAGCAAAGTCCAGGGCTGTGGGCTAGATTAAGAAGCAGAAAAAGCAACTTGGAATAAAGCAACGACTAATCATTTCTATATTAGAAATGATTAGTCGGAGGGCTAGCAACTCCGAATCCGACCGAACACTATTAAGAGCCTTTATTAGGACTTATTTAGTGGCGATACGGGCGGCAAAATGTGCACATTTTCCCGCTCTTATTGCGTCTTTTCTGTAAGCCGCCCGGAGACCTCCGGGATTGGGCGGCCTATAAATCCATTAAATACAATAAATACAATACAATAACTATAAAATCAAAACAAAACAAAGAATCCCTAATGAAAATAAATCTGCAAGGAAAGGGGAGCATTAGCCAGTGCACCGGGCAAAGAGTTCTGTCACAAAAAATAAGAGTTTCTTGTCTGTCCTACTTCTAAATGACTACAGTAAATAATGATAAAATTATGCCGTTAAATAAATGTTCAGATTTTCAGTAATATAGGCAGGTGTTGAATATTAAACTTGGTGGCCCTACTTACATTAGCTAATTGAGGACCCTGAGGACCACTGTCTGCTCCGTTATCAGAGGGTTTCTGAAGCCCACTGATCATAGATCCCAAAATGGAGGTAGTGAGACCCTGTAGGCCAGGTAAAGTCAGGGGAGGAGCCTGGGTCCCCATCGCAGCAGCATTCTCCCTCTCCATCGCCAATGGTCCCAAGAAAGAGGGCAAGGAGAAGTTTCCAGAAGGCAAGATAGTAGATTTCACAGTTCCTGGGGAAACATCCGCTGGCACAGAACCACCTGGGAAAACAGGAATCCAGTAAAGAGTATATTCCAAATGATAGCTATGAGAATTAGAGAGCAGGGCTAAGACATCAGTCTACTTACTGAACAAATGGATCACCATTTGAGGGGCAGCATTTTAAGGAGCATTTAATAGCAAATCCTGATATTGTCCAGTCTTTATAAACAACTTTAGAAATAGGGGCCTCTCACAGGTTATTCATGAATTCTTGCCAATACAAATAATAGTAATGGAAGTAATAGAAAAACCTTAGTTCTATATCCACATGTAAAAGTATATTTTTAGTCATAATCTATTCACCTGCTGCAGTGACGTGTGGTGAGGTTTATGGCTGGTGAGGCAGTCCTCTCCCGCAACACCCCACTGACTAAAGCACTTTCTTTCGCCCGCCTGTGCTCGCGGCAGCCCGCTGGGCTGCCGCGAGCTCAGGCGGGCAAAAGAAAGTGCTTTAGTCAGTGGGGTCTCGCGGGAGAGGAGAGAATGTCTGAGCATTGCATTTATTAAAGAAAAAAGAAAAAAAGGAAATTTGAAGGAAAAGAAGGAGCGTGGGGTGGGGGGGCATCAGAAACGGAGAAAGAGAGGAGGAAGAGTGAGCGCGAAGCTGCAGCTTTAAACAGAATGACAGAGTTGAAGCCTCTAAAAAATGCGCCCTCTACTGTGAGGCAGGAGAACTGCGTGCCTCAACTACCTCGGGATTTTGGGGGCTTTTAACCCTTGCTTAACTCTGCTCGAGCGCCTAAAAAGTCAGACTCGACGAGGTATGCAGTACTCTTGCCTTACAGTAGAGGGCGCTTTTTTTAGAGGCTTCACCTCTGTCATTCTGTTTAAAGCTGCAGCGTCGCGCTCACTCTTCCTCCTCTCTTTCTCCGTTTCTGATGCCTCCCCCACCCCACGCTCCTTCTTTTCCTTCAAATTTCCTTTTTTTCTTTTTTCTTTAATAAATGCAATGCTCAGGCATTCTCTCCTCTCCCGCGAGACCCCACTGACTAAAGCACTTTCTTTCGCCCGCCTGAGTTCGCGGCAGC